CCCTCCAACTCAGGCCTCCACACAAACTGCTCTCGGTATGAGGACCTTAAGTGGATGTAATGCATAGGCCAGAGCGGTTTGACAAAAGGGACAAGTGCTACACAGATTCTATGCAATCACGTAAGAAATATCAAGTTAAAAACATGGTTACCAGTCCAGACCAACTATACGTTATGCTACTCGATGTTGAGCTATTAAAAGACATTCTCCATAGAAAGAACGTAGTAGAAGTGGGAATGTTAATGTGCATTGTGGCTATACTAGAATAGATAAATTAAGCTTAGAATTAAGGTGGCTAGGGCATGTCTTACATAGACAAAAGTAAATTCTGATACAAGATCGATCTAATTCCAGTAAAAACAGGTCACGAGAGAAAAAGGTAGCTAATGTGGTTGCAGAATAATTTGATATCTTTTAACCAATCAGTGATAAAAATTTGAAAAAAGGATTCACGTCGATAAACCAAGTTAAGAACAAATAAAGCTTTGTTTTTATTGTCAAAAGGCAAAAAAATACTATGAATAACATAATATAGGATGAATGTCATAATATCATACAACAATGCACTCAAGATAAAAATTAAAATTCTAGACTTATTTCATTGATGGAAGAAGCACTAAAAAGGAGAGATGCTGACTCATAGGACTGCAATCAGAATGTTCTTACTCAACACATAATGAATAAGTTTTCAAACTAATGAAACAACCACCATGACCAAACTAGGTTTCTATCTCCTTTTATTCCTTTCCTTGAGCAATTGCGAGAAAGGAATGAATAGCTAATTCCCACAGATATAGAATGGTATTGAATCCAAAGCAATAGATAAAGATGTGCATACCATCTCAACAGCATGCTCAAATAACTCTCGAGCCCGCTCTAACTTTGACTTCCCATATCTTTTAACAAACTTTGAAAGGTAAGTTACCCAGATATCCTTTACATGTGGGTATTTGAATATCTTCACACCCCTCTCGTAAACTTTGAAGGCGTCCTCAAAGTATTTCTGATCCTGAACACATTTAAAAAGAAATATTAGCTCAGTCAATAATAAATAGGCACTAAAAGATTTTCCAGTCTTTGAATGAACAAAGGGTGGGTTGCGGAGAGACAGAAGGGAACAGCAACACAGAAAGATGGAAGCTCCTACTTACTTCCAAAAGCATCGCATAGTTTATTATAATTTGCGGTGTGGCAATTTTTAGATCTAGTATTCTCTCATAAACTGCACGAGTTGATTCCAGGGTACCCAGGCTCTCTTCCAAATCCACATAAAATGTCCAGAGCCTAAGGGACTTGTGAATCCTCATCTGCACAGGTTCATTTCCATCAGCAGCCACTGCATTTAAAGAGTAATGAAATAAATATCCAAGCTAACAAAGTAAATCACGTATGAAGAAAAGGGTTCGCTTAGTTACAATAATGCTTGTCACCAAAGGTCACACAAGATCCATAGCACACAAAATTAAACCAAAACACTCATGATTTATAGCTGCTAGTTTCAATCCCTATTAACCCATCTAGGTACAAATCTATATAGCTCTAAATATTGGCTTAATTCGCTCTTCTAGTATTTCTTCGTTCCCTTGTCTTTTCCACAAATCAATCATAGGTATTAGTGCAGATCATTAAAGTTCATTCACACGCCCGATAGAGAATAATGTTGCTAAGTTTTAGGTTTTAGCAACACACATTAAGGTTGGAGGAAAAAAAAGGCCTAAGCACAACTATAATATCAAGGAGAAAAAAATAAGAGACATCCAACATATATATGAAGACAGTGTAACATCTGCAAGGGAAAAGAACATTTTGATCAAGATTTTGCTTACTCTGCTAACATGGTATAGTAAATGCCTGGAGAGAGTCGTGTGGCTAAAAGGTTTTGGCATTGAAATTCACATCAAGATAACAGGGAGGCGATGAAGGCAATGGCAAGCCATAACGGAGAAATCACCTTTGAATTCAACATAAATATAATGAAATTCAAGTATACATAAATAGCAACTAACACTAGGTAAGTCTAATGAAACTTATAGGGCAAATGTTTCTGAATGTCGCGCTATTAATGGAAATTCTTCCCCAATTTTTCCATTCCACCTAGTCATTTTAATTTGCTTCATTGTAAGAGATGCAGTTCTCATGTCTGAATAAAAAGAGATGACAAGAGCCAAGATTGACTTCAAGTACTCGTAGAAGCTTTCTTGGAAGCTATAAAATATGAAGAAGTTTTAAGCTAACCACTTTTCATTCCTCAATTTAACCGCCACTAATTTTCTTATTATATAATACAATTCCAATTAAGTGTTAAATATTTACCAAGCACCAAGCATGGCATAAGGGGAAAATATCACGTGAAAAGAAAGGAGAAAAGTTACCTCTGCGTTTGACCTCAACAGATGGCTCTGCAGTAGCCCGCCTCATCAGTTCCAGAGCACCCTTGAAATTCTTATGCCTTAGCTCCATCTCAGCCCATTCACACCAAACACTTGCCAGATGGTCCAAAGTCTTATAATTGACCTGCACTGCTTTGTCAAATATTACCCGGGCATTTGCAACATCTCTGTGACTTTCATACAGCTTTGCAAATGCTACCCACAAAGTATGAGGCTTCCCCACCGCCTTCATTGGATCCACAGTTCTCACTGCTTCTGTGTAGGTCAATATCTGCTTCGTGGGATTTCCCTCAAAAAGCTTAACTCGCCTATGCCACTGCTCCACGTTGTGTGGATTCTGCCTCAAAAGAACGCTGTTGGCCAACTCAGGCCTTCTATCCATTAAGTATTCCAACCTCGCCAACCTCAAATCCACGTCATTCTCGTCCTTTAACCAGAACTTCTTGATCCTCTTTTCCAACTTCGCTATATTCAACCTATCATCGTCCTCATCGTCCTCTTCCTCCTCTTCATCATTCTCAACATCGCTATCGCTCATCATATCCATTCTAACTGACAACATACTCTCTTCAAACTGCGAGTAAGAGTCAAAAATCACGCTAAAATCCCTTACTGTCACCACAGTTGTCATCCCTTCCTCAAAAATATCCCTAGCCTTCTCCATCAAACCCCGCCTTATATAATAATCTGCCAAGGACGTCCAGAGCCTCCCTACCTCATCCGTGAACTTCCTAATCCCTCCCCTAATTATTGCATCCACATTCAACCCGGATATCTCCTTTGCGTGCTGAGTCAACAAGTCACACAACTCCAACCACAAACTATGCTTCGTCTTCCCTTTGATTGAATAAAACCGATCATCGTTCAAAACACCTGCCAACCTCTCCGCAGCCTCCTGCCACAACTCTGAATTAACCAAAAATTCAATAAAGTCCTCAATATGGCTTGGATCATACTTCAAATATCTCCTATAAACTCTCAACGACGTCTCTATGGGTACTCCCTTCTGTGACACGAAAATCAAGTAATGTTCCCAAATCCGATCGTGCTGAGTAACCGGAAGCGCACATAGAGCCCGATCAAAAGCTTTCCGCGCTTTCGTAATCAATTTCTGCTGGGTCAAGGACTGCAAGTACATGATCCAAATGCGGGGCATCTTGTGCATTGTAACCAATGCACGCTCAAAAGTGTTATTAAGAGCTTGGTATTGCGAATGAATGATGGGCAGATTTCGCACAATCTCAAGGCGTTCCCGGAGATACGCATGCCATAACTTGTAGCTGCCCGGTAGAGCTTTCACTGCCCTTTCATAAATAATGGACCTCTTCTTGAACGGAGATTCGGCGCGAGCAATTAAATAGCGCCACCATAGCTTCAGGCTGAAGGGATTGCGGAGGATCTCTTCCTCGTAAAGTAGGTCGTCTTGACTTGGGTAGAGTTCCTGTGAGATTGACATGGCAGCGGCGTGATCAAGAATTTATGGAAATGGATAAACTATAGCGTTCCAATTGCGGAAAAATCTAGACTTGACATGGTGATATAGTGGAGAGCTCGAAAGTGAATGTGAATCTGATAAACCCTAACCCTGGCATTTTTCGCAAAATAGAAATCCCCCAAAAAATAAAGACGTCTCGAATGATGTCCAAAAAAAAAACATTCCGAAACATGGTTTGGCTTGAAGTCGCGTTCTTAGAATCAACAATAAACGTTTTCTGGCATAAGACGCGACTTTGATTTATTAAGCGGTTGTTTTGCAAATAATTTAGACTTTAGAGTGATTAAATGTAAATTTTTCTTCAGCGCGGTGACTAAATTGAACTACATACATAAGTTCAATGACTAATTTATAGAGATATTTTTATTTATTTTTTGAAATAGCTGTCAATATACTTGATTAAAATGGTCCAGCTAACTACATGATACCGTGTTTATTTGATAAAATTTTGCTAAAATGAACTTTTAACGGGTAACATTGAGATTCGATTTGGAAACCTATTTAGTTAGGAAATTTGGCGCAAATAGTCCTTCATTTTTGTCTCCGATGTGTTAGAATAATTCCATTTGATTGCGAATTTTATGAGTTAGAATAATTCTATGTGAGGTTCCATTTGATTGCGAATTTTACGGATTAGATGTATGGTTTGCAATGATACTATGATTAGGCACAATATGTTAGTGATCATTTGGTCCATTGTATATCTTACATGCTTTATTATTTATAACGTGGTACTTTTAAGTATGTGGGTCGGAATTATGTAAACCCTAATTAGGGTTAGAGTCGGTAATGGGCTGACTTATGATTTCTTATATAGTGGCTAGGTCTCCTCTCATCTCCATATGTTTTTGGCTTACCCCATTAACGACTGATAATTTTGTGGAGCAAGGAGAGCAAGATCCAGCTGATAATATTCACACATACAAAATGTCTTTCGCGGGTATGAATTTCGAATTATCAATTGATATATGTGATTATTTTTCTTAGCATGATTATCGAATAATTACAACACGATGTACGTATGGTTTTTAACGTTTATTTCTTAGTACTGGTTTGGGATAAATTATAATGAAGATGAATAATGAGTTCTGCAAAACATATAATAAAGCCCTGTTTGGTACACATTAAAATTTTCATTCTCAGTCTTCAAAAAATGTGCACCAAAAGGGTTTTTATTAGGCCATGTACGGTACACATTAAAATTTTCATTCTCATCCTTCTACTCATTTTCAACCACACATTCTTCAATAAAATAATATTTTTCATCACATCAATAACTTTTTTTTCCTTTTCAACCACAAATTCTCTATCAACTACTATTCCAGAATACATTCTTCCAAAATAATGTGGTTCAAACACACCCTAAATTAGTACTTGTGATCACGGAGAGGAGCTTGTAGTTGTGATAGTAACTTGATGGCGAAACCTCAAATAAGCTGATTTGCCATAAGAAGAGAAAAACAAATTATATCATTATAATTTAAAATAAAATTCAAGCACATTGGATCCTACTCATGTTAACGAAGAAACAAAAATCACAAATTGAACAAGAAATCAAAAAACACACTTTAACCCTACAAATTCGATTAATCTGAGCCTCACATGATGAGATTTATAGTTGAAATCAAGCTTCAGAGAATATTATTATAGTTCGTGGGAACCCATGAATGCCTCACGCCTAAACGTATTTTTATTATTATTATTATTTTAAAGCATTTGATGATAGTTTTAAGACAGGTTCAACGGAAATTTGATAGATTAAATGGTGGATTTATGTAAATTTGAAATGAAAGAGAGGCACTTAGATTAGTTTAGAGCCTGCTTGACAACTATTTTGATAAAAAAAAAAAAAAAAGTTTTTTAAAAAGTAAGATTTTTTTTTTATATACGTATATAATATTTTATTGTGTGAATGTGTAATTGAAAATGATCTTATAGCAAATATAAAATAAAACAGAGAAGGTCAAACAAGCACTTAGTTAGTAGGCAATTGATGGGCGTTTGGATGTAGGTAAGGATTATAAAGGGTTTTTATAAAATAGATGGGATCATTAGGAGCGTGTTCGGTAGAGATTAAAATTGGATTAAAATTGAAAAACTAGTCGTTACTATTGACTTTTATTAGACGAGTGGGACCCAATAACGGCCATATTTTCAATTAAAATTGGATTTTAATTCTAGGCAAACATGCATTAGTTTAATTTAAGAGTTGAGATTATTTATTAAAGGGTAAATAAAAACGTTCATACCTCTCATTTTTATTTTTATTTTATTTGCATTTTTCGTACTTATTTCTACATTTCATTGCCAAAAAAAAAAAAACCCATAATTTCATCAACTTACCGCCAGTTGTTTCGTTAATCTATAATATATTAAATATCATATCAAATGAGAATCATTTTTTGGACGATTCTAGTCCTACTATAATTCAATTATTTCAATAATACATTACTTTTCATTTTTCAATATATTCATTTCACGTGTGCTTTCATTGATGTATAAGTTCCATATTATTAATTCTCAGTTAATTAGAATTCACGTTATTTTAATTCATATTCATCTTCATTTATACATTTCAGTATTGTCAATTCTATTTATAAGTTAATTAGAATTTCACATTCAATAATACATTTCACTATTTATGTTTGTGTATGCTAATTAATATTCAATTTTATTTAATTGAAAATTAAATAAATGATTTTTAACATTAATTGTTACGTAAATATTAACTGGTATTAATTCTAAATTAATTAACATTTACGCATATTCAAATATTACTTTTACATCACTTATAAATCATTTTCATAATAACGTGCAACGCGCGTTCAACGATGACTAGTTCAATATAAAAAATCATAATAATTAGCACAAAACATCCATACATTTCAATATTGTTGTGCAAAACGTCCATACCTTTCTTTTTTGGCATTTTCACTTTTTATTGCCAAACACGTTATTCCATCAAAAATCCGTCAATTGCACCATTAATTCAATACAAAAAAAGTCATTTTTTCTTTTCAAACATCAAGGATAAAATAGTCTCAGCTTATTTAACTCATTCTTCCCGCTTTCAAAATACTTATTCCACAAGTGACAATAACATGAATATAAAAATAATTTATAAAATTATTACATGAAATAAAAAAAAATGGCATAAAGACTCGGACGTTCCAGCCCGAACGTCTGGGTCCGGATCTGGCTAACCCTTCAGGCTCGCTGGAAAACTCCAAGCACCCAAAAGATACCCCATTTTTCGTCTATTTCAATCTCAAATTTGACTTTTCTTCCATTTTGAACCATAAATAAACATCGATATTTGTATTAAACTCATAAATTATTTAATTAAAAAAATCAAATATCTACATACACCACGATGAAATACTAAATATTTCAAACAAATACTAACCTTGTCAAGTTTAGAAGATGAAGAAAATGAACAAGACCGTCTGTTTCATCTGTAATCTTGGAATCCTGATCTGGTTCCTTCTCTTCTTGTTTTCTCTTATCTTTTTTAAAGGGTATAATATGTAATTAAACATTTTGTTTTGTTTTTATCTTCTTTTTTTTTTTTTTCATTTAATACTGGTCAAATGCCATTTTGGAAATTAGGCCAAGTCAACTGGTCATTGGCCATTATTTCCTCGTTATTTCTTAGTGCGAACTTAATTTTCATACTCTGTTATCCTCGCATGAACATACTCATAACCTCTTTATTAAATTTGTATGACGTCTCCTCAAGTTACTGAAGAGTTTGTAATCTTGCTTAATCAATCAGAAGGAAAAATCCCTAAAATTTTCGCATGTTGTAGACTCGAGAAAAATCTTTAGCCACTTATTTCCATGTTATGGACTTGTTGGAGCGGCCGACCGAGTCAAAATTTGTAATTTTTTGTCTGCAACATATTCAAATCTTTCTATTATTCGTTCCAGATTTTAGGTTGAGGTTGGTAATATTGCAATCCTCCGATCATCGTCACGAGAATGCATCCCATTACCACCATAGGTGACCATCAGGCAAATTTTTGCTTCGATACTAATTTTGGTAAGGAAGTGGAATTGGAGTTCTTGATACAAAAATAAGCTGAACTAACTTGAAACTTTGTAGAGAATAATTTTATTTTAATGAATTGATCATGAAAAAATTACAAAGCCTAAGAAGGCATTTTTGTTATGTTACCAGTGCTTGTATAATTGATTTTTCTCTGTAATACTAATCGATATGGACTCATTGGTAAGTGTTACAAGATCTCGTGCATCAAAACCCATGGTTATGGATCCGAATCCAAAATTAGAAAGCCTTTGTTTATAAGTAAAATATTATCTTAATCATGTTAGTTTAAGGAAGATAAGTAATTAAAACCTAAAAGAAAATGTAATAAAAATCTGAAAAAATAAAACCCTATTACAACAAGAAAAATTTCCCATCCTATTTGAAATAAAATTGTCCTATATCACTTAATCATCTCTACTAGTTCAGCATCTCCAAGATACTCTACTCTTTAAATATGAGACGCTCTATATTTTAAAAGAGTTAACCTTTAAAATCATGATCTAAAGACTCTTTAAATTAACAGTTTAATTTAGAGAATGACTCTCTATAATTAAATATAATCAAAATGTTTCAATTTCAATATAGGAAAACAATAAATAATCTAAAGAAAATTTAGTTAAAATAAAAAATATAAAAAAAATAATAAACATTTTTTGGATGTTATTGACCCCAAAAAATGTTACCAACAGATGCCGGACCCATGCGTGTACACGAAAGCTAAATCCAACACGTTAGTGCCGATCAACGGTCGGAATGTCTTCAGAATCTGAACGTAAGAGGAGCTCAAAGATACGAGACGTTTCCGTTCAAGCCTCCGGCGAGATAACTAGAATACGATTGTATAAGAAACCAATTGATAAAGAACAAGATTTGCAATAGATTTATGCTCATAAACGAGAGAGACGAGAGAATAATATTGCTCCAATTCGTTAATCTATAATATATTAAATATCATATCAAATGAGAATCATTTTTAGGACGATTCTAGTCCTACTATAATTCAATTATTTCAATAATACATTACTTTTCATTTTTCAATATATTCATTTCACGTGTGCTTTCATTGATGTATAAGTTCCATATTATTAATTCTCAGTTAATTAGAATTCACGTTAATTTAATTCATATTCATCTTCATTTATGCATTTCAGTGTTGTTAATTCTATTTATAAGTTAATTAGAATTTCACATTCAATAATACATTTCACTATTTATGTCTATGTATGCTAATTAATATTCAATTTTATTTAATTGAAAATTAAATAAATGATTTTTAACATTCATTGTTACGTAAATATTAACTGGTATTAATTCTAAATTAATTAACATTTATGCATATTCAAATATTACTTTTANTAATTCTAAATTAATTAACATTTATGCATATTCAAATATTACTTTTACATCACTTATAAATCATTTTCATAATAACGTGCAACGCGCGTTCAACGATGACTAGTTCAATATAAAAAATCATAATAATTAGCACAAAACATCCATACATTTCAATATTGTTGTGCAAAACGTCCATACCTTTCTTTTTTTGACATTTTCACTTTTTATTGCCAAACACGTTATTCCATCAACAATCCGTCAATTGCACCATTAATTCAATACAAAAAGTCATTTTTTCTTTTCAAACATCAAGGATAAAATAGTCTCGGCTTATTTAACTCATTCTTCCCGCTTTCAAAATACTTATTCCACAAGTGACAATAACATGAATATAAAAATAATTTATAAAATTATTACATTAAATAAAGAAAAAATGGCATAAAGACTCGGACGTTCCAGCCCGAACGTCTGGGTCCAGATTTGGCTAACCCGTCAGGCTCGCTGGAAAACTCCAAGCACCCAAAAGATACCCCATTTTTCGTCTATTTCAATCTCAAATTTGACTTTTCTTCCATTTTGAACCATAAATAAACATCAATATTTGTATTAAACGCATAAATTATTTAATTAAAAAAATCAAATATCTACATTCACCATGATGAAATATTAAATATTTCAAACAAATACTAACCTTGTCAAGTTTAGAAGATGAAGAAAATGAACAAGACCGTCTGTTTCCTCTGTAATCTTGGAATCCTGATCTGGTTCCTTCTCTTCTTGTTTTCTCTGATCTTTTTTAAAGGGTATAATATGTAATTAAACATTTTGTTTTGTTTTTATCTTTTTTTTTTCATTTAATAATGGTCAAATGCCATTTTGGAAATTAGGCCAAGTCAACTGGTCATTGGCCATTATTTCCTCGTTATTTCTTAGTGCGAACTTAATTTTCATACTCTGTTATCCTCGCATGAACACACTCATAACCTCTTTATTAAATTTGTATGACGTCTCCTCAAGTTACTGAAGAGTTTGTAATCTCGCTTAATCAATCAGAAGGAAAAATCCCTAAAATTTTCGCATGTTGTGGACTCGAGAAAAATCTTTAGCCACTTATTGCCATGTTATGGACTCGTTGGAGCGGCCGACCGAGTCAAAATTTGTAATTTTTTGTCTGCAACATATTCAAATCTTTCTATTATTCGTTCCAGATTTTAGGTTGAGCTTGGTAATATTGCAATCCTCCGATTATCGTCACGAGAATGCATCCCGTTACCACCATAGGTGACCATCAGGCAAATTTTTGCTTCGATACTAATTTTGGTAAGGAAGTGGAATTGGAGTTCTTGAAACAAAAATAAGTTGAACTAACTTGAAAATTTGTAGAGAATAATTTTATTTTAATGAATTGATCATGAAAAAATTACAAAGCCTAAGAAGGCATTTTTGTTAGTGCTTGTATAATTGATTTTTCTCTGTAATACTAATCGATATGGACTCATTGGTAAGTGTTACAAGATCTCGTGCATCAAAACCCATGGTTATGGATCCGAATCCAAAATTAGAAAGCCTCTGTTTATAAGTAAAATATTATCTTAATCGTGTTAGTTTAAGGAAGATAAGTAATTAAAACCTAAAAGAAAATGTAATAAAAATCTGAAAAAATAAAACCCTATTACAACAAGAAAAATTTCCCATCCTATTTAAACTAAAATTGTCCTATATCACTTAATCATCTCTACTAGTTCAGCACCTCCAAGATACTCTACTCTTTAAATATGAGACGCTCTATATTTTAAAAGAGTTAACCTTTAAAATCATGATCTAAAGACTCTTTAAATTAACAATTTAATTTAGCGAATGACTCTCTATAATTAAATGTATTCAAAATGTTTCAATTTCAATATAGGAAAACAATAAATAATCTAAAGAAAAGTTAGTTAAAATAAAAAATATAAAAATAATAATAAACATTTTTTGGATGTTGTTGACCCCAAAAAATGTTACCAAAAGATGCCGGGCCTACTCGTGTACACGTAAGCTAAATCCAACACGTTAGTGCCGATTAACGGTCAGAATGTCTTTAGAATCTGAACGTGAGAGAATCTCAAAGACACGAGACGTTTCCGTTCAGGCCTCCGGCTAGATAACTAGAATACGATTGTATAAGAAATCAATCGATAAAAAACAAGATTTGCAATAGATTTATGCTCATAAACGAGAGAGACGAGAGAATAATATTGCTCCAAGTATTTAGAATTTCATTAACCTTTTTTTGTTACATGGTGGGGTTATTTATAGTGTTACAAATGAAATAAGGACTTTTGGATCAATTTACACGTGGCACCATCTCCTTGGCCAAGACTTCAAGACCTAGCCATCGAGTTGACTCTCCTAGCCTTACAACTCAGTAAATGTTCTTACATTGATAAGACAAGACATAAACAAACTTTACATACACGTGGCACCATCTCCTTGGCCAAGACATCAAGTCCTAACCATCAAATTGACTCTCATAGCCTTACAAGATATTAAATGTTCTTACATTGACAAGACAAGACACAAATAAACTTTACACAAAAGTCACATCAATCATTCAAACTAAAGATCTTCATCATAAGCAAATCCCCACATGTGAGCCATCGCTAACTGCTGAAGAGCCTCGGATAGTAAGTGGAGGTGCCCTGGGCCTCGGATAGTGCATGACCTCGAAGCAAGGGCCTCGACTAACAAATTAACAATGAAAGGCTCGGATAATGGGCCTCAGTATGACTCCAAGCCTCGACGACACGTCGAGGCCAGGAAAACATATTGTGATTCAATTGGGCTGGTCCCATCATTCAAATATGACGCCACATGGTGATTTTATTTATAAGTCGTAACAGATGTAGTAAAATTAAGTTTTAAATATAAATAACTTGTCGAAGTACTTCAAAAATTTAAATATCTAAATTTATAAATACTCTTTAAATAATAGAATATGCTCTCTATAAAAAAAAAAATAAGTAAATAGAGGATCTCTTTGCTCATTATCTTTCTTTGCACATTAATCGTGTTAGAATATATTTTGGAAATTTTGATTCTACGACCAAACCAAACCAAACCAAACCAAAACATTAGTTCGGTTTTGGTTCGGTTCTATAATTACCAGTTGTTCCATTATAAAGAGAGCCATTGGTTCTCGTTTCGGAACCACATCCACCCTAACCTATAAGCAAAAACCATATAAATTTGCTGATTTATTGTACTTCGTATTTTGTTTTGGGATTGTAAATTTCGAAGATAATTCATCATCAGGTCAGTTCTACTTGCATCAAAACCAATCTCGATTAGTTGCTTTTGTTTTAAAAGAAATTGCAATCGTAAAAGAAGTCCTTAAATTGTGCTTTTTTTAATTAATTGTGATTTTGTTTTCTATATTGAAGAGTAAAGGTCAACTCGAAGATCTGCTTCTGAAGTTTGCCTTTTCTTGATTATGTTATTTGCAGATTGAGGAAGTTTGGTTGAAATTTTGTCGACTAATATTGGCAAATGGCTTCGATTAGAATTTTAAGCTTGAAATCACTTCATCATTCTGTGAAATACGGGACTGGACTTGACATAAGAACATCGATTGTATTTATGTGTAGAAATGATCCCACTAGGGAATCTGGGCATGCCCATAATTTTGGAAAAATGGGTTTGAACTTTACTGGTGATATTCAGAATTCTAAGGGAAATCATGTAAATGCACATTTTTCGCATAGGCTATTTACTAATTCGAGTTCTCGAGGTGCATTTGCATTTGCTGGGGAGAGTCCTGTGATGAATTGTAGGTTGTTCTCATCGCGCACAGGTACTGAAGGTAACATTCCTCGAGGCCCTGATTTGCCAGCAGCTGTGGACGCAAGTGGGCCTAGTAGTGTAAGCGATGGTAGTAATGGTGGGGGTGATTGGCTCGAGAAAGTTAAGGATGCGTGGCAGTCTACCGTTGATGTTGTAAAATACACAGGGGAGAAAGCAAAAGACGTGTCTGATGAAGCGACGCCATACATTCAACAATTACTCGATACTCATCCTTATCTTAGAGACATTATTGTCCCCGTTGGCGGTACTTTGGCCAGTACACTATTGGCATGGGCAGTATTGCCAAAGCTTTTGAGAAGATTCTATAACTTGTCGATGCAAGGCCCAGCTGCTTTCTTAGCCAAGAGCTCATTGTGGGGGCCTGTTCCTTATGAGAAAAGTTTTTGGGGCGCATTGGAGGATCCAATTCGATATTTGGTCACTTTCATGGCATTCTCTTGGATGTTAGTGGGCTTGTACTTTATATTCCCTTCTATGCATGCTTATGTTTTTTATGGTTATTTGCCATAAATGTAATTTGATTTTGTCCTTATGCAGTGGAGAGATGGTGGCACCAACTGTTATTACCACAGAGTACGTTACACAGGCTTGGAGAGGTGCTGTTATCATGTCAATTGTGTGGTTTCTCCATCGGTGGAAAACAAATGTGATTACTCGAGCTTTAGCAATGAAGAGCTTGGAAGGCTTCGACCGAGATAGGCTGTTAACTTTGGATAAAATTTCCTCGGTTGGTCTCTTTGTAGTTGGTTTGATGGCTTTAGCAGAGGCATCTGGCGTGGCCGTGCAATCTATCTTGACAGTGGGAGGCATAGGAGGTGAGTTTTGTTGTGAATTATTTTATGCTCATTATCGAGTTTCTGCCGTTGAGAAATGTTCACATTCTTTTTATATATGCTTATTACTAATTTCGTTGAATGGATAATTTATAAAATGTATGTCATCTCCTTGTACATAATGAATTGTTTTCTTTAGCCTATGGTTTTGAGTTGTTTGATATATATATGAGTTGTTGAAAGTTGCAAATAAAATTTGGTATGACATGACATGGAAAAGAGACATGCAGTAGTGGGTTGCTCAATACGTAAAGGGGCAACTAAGATGTGGGCAATGGCGGATCTAGGAATTTTGTTCAGCTAGGGCGTTCGTCGACTGTCATCCATCAATGGCCGCAATAGCGAGATTGTTTATGAAAGACGAGATAGAGGGAGAGAGGAATGACTACAAGAAGAATAATATAACAAATTATCCTTCCATAATCTATTAACAAACCCCAAATCACAAAGCGTTATTACAATTTTAATAAATCACAAATTACCAATCCGTAAATAACAAATTATCACAAATCACAGTAATAAATCTATAAATCACAAATTACCAATACATAAATCCCTAAATCACCAATCGATCTGTAAAAAATCACAAATTCTCCAATTCTCACAAATTTCCCAATTTTTATAAATCATACTAATCTGATATAGATATAGTTGGATTGGTGCATTGTGATCTTTAATAGAATATTAAAGATGAAAACAAGAAAATAAGATTCACCTCGATCACCTCCACAGTTCCCGACAAGGACACCTCTTTTCACACACAAATACATACTACCCAAAAATTAATTTTTTTGAGGTCTATGCAATTTCATCTTTTGATTGGCTTAGTTATACAAAATCTTGAAATTTTGTAGAAGAGAACGTAATTTTCACAGTACAAGAAGAGGGAATAAGAATAAGAGATGAGGACTTCAATTGGTTTGCCAAATGGGAAGAGGAACTGCCTTGAGCTGATGCCCTTATCCCAATCCCTAATAACTCCTGATTTAGCACTTGCCTTTGATATTAGGAATCATCACTACCAGAGCTGAGCACATCGTCTTCGCAGCTGCCGCAATCCACGGTTAATGCTTTAGGAGGTCTATAGAAAATCCCAATCAAAGAATCAGCCTGTAGGCCTATGGATATGGGTCTAATTTAAAAAATAATAATAATAAAAAAAAAGAAGCCCAAAAGGCTCACAATTTAAAACCAAAAAAATGCCTAAACTCATCTTCACTGTCTTCAAACTTCCTGACAACTGCAACAATGGCAAGTGGGGGTTGCTTCCGACCTGTAAATTCCGGCGGAGCCCGCACGGGCGGCCTCACCATCTTGCCGGGTGCTGGCTCCTTCACTGGTTGTGGGCTGGCCCACTCCTACTTCCAGGGCATGCAGAGTGGGTCATCTATAAAATTCATAATTTTTCTCTATTATTATGTATAGTCTGTGCATGGGAAACAGTTTCAGTTGCAGATTATTGGTTTAACATCAATAATGAAGATGATACTGGGGAGAAGCGTGATGGTTCCACTCCTACATAAATACGAAAGATTTAAGTTAACAATTTGAAGCTGACTTTGTCTGTTCATATTCATCATGCAGGAGTGGCTACTGCTTTTGCAGCAAGAGATGTACTTGGAAATGTTCTCAGTGGGCTGTCTGTACAGCTTTCCCAACCATTTTCAATTGGAGACACCATCAAAGTATGTTAACACTTCTATTCTCTTGGTATAGAAAATTACACGCTGTACAGTTTTAATTATTCTCACACAAAAAAAATTACCCTATAATATCGTTTTTACAAAACATCGCACATCTTTGTAAAAGCATTAGTTTGTTATTCCACTGAGAGGAACTTTTAAATTAAGGATAGACATTTCTGGTTGCATGTATCAGCACTCTGTAGAAGTAGCTGTATGTTCTTGTTTATTACATAATACTAAGTGGTCATTATGAGGGGTTCAGATGGCATGCCCAGCCTTCATTTAACCCCTTTTGGGGCTCCATTTTTCCAAAAAATACATTTTTTTCAAAACTCATTTTCAACCACACATTCTCCCATAAAATAATATTACACATAAACCCAAAACTTTTCCTTATTTTCTAACTACACATTCTCTCTCAAAAAGTCATTTTAATGGAGAGTGTGTATAAAATCTTTTATTTTCAACCGGGAAGAAGATATTGTTAATAATCAAAGAATTGGTTAGAGGATTTGAATATAAAATTAAGCATGGCTTTTGTATTTATGTTATATCTTTGGATAGCAATAACAACATGACTATTAATATAGGTTTTAGTATTCCTATATATCACGAATTTCCTAATTCCAAATGTTGCCATCATATTTTGACTCAATAATTTTGTTTTCCCTTCTTACTACAGGCTGGATCTGTAGAAGGTCAAGTGGTAGAAATGGGTCTTACAACTACACATCTGCTGACTGCAGAAAAATTTCCTGTTATCGTTCCAAATTCACTGTTTTCCAGTCAGGTAGGTTTATCTTCTTGACTGTCCAATCCTTTTATAGGTTTGAGCTTTCCCTCCTCCTTATTCTTTTCAAATAGTTGCATTAATCCTCACCTATGTTAGACAATGCTTCTTCAAGTGTTCCCCTTGATCATTATGCATGCCTTTCCCCTTTTTTTATTTGTCTTAAGATTTCATCAATATGTGCCCATTTATTAATTGTTTTCAAGTGTTTGATTGATGAATTAATGTCTTCACTTCATATTTTCATGTTTTAATTAGTTGGTGTAAATATAAATTTACCAATCGTTTATGCCATTTGTAGGTGATTGTGAATAAATCAAGGGCTCAATGGCGTTCTATGGTCACGAGAATTCCGCTGCAAATTGATGACTTAGAAAAGATTCCCCTGTTATCGGAGGATATAAAGACCATGCTCAAATCAAATTCAAACGTGTTTTTGGAAAAGGAGGCGCCATACTGTTTCTTGTCTAGAATAGAGAGGTCCTATGCAGAACTTACTCTTGGATGCAATCTTAAACAAATGGTATGCTTGTTTCTTTTTCAAGTTTTTTTTTTTCAAGTTCTATCCGATATTAGTTGGAGCACTTCAATCAATTTAATTGGTTTATATTATGTTGCTTTACATTGGTCTATGTTAGTATTGAATCTTGTAAATGTTACTAAGCTTATCATTAATACACAACACTACAGAAGATTCTAATATTTTGGTATAGAACTGATTTAAGCTTTACAGCATGTTTGGCAGAGCTTAAATTATAATTTTAGCTAGTCAAATTTATTTTTTATCCACACATTTTGCATGACCAACAATTTACTATTCACTTATTAGCCATACATTTTGTAGGATCCACATGTTATAAGCATTTAAAAGCACTAGCAAATAAGCACTTACTACAATTAATGGCAGCGAAATATTTTTCTTGGGAAAATAAGTCAAATTACCCGTTAGTATTAACATTTCCTTTCTTCTTGTGGTTCCGACAATATTTTTTCTGTATATTTTCCTTTAATATAGTTATACTGGTCAATGCCGCAACCAATAACTTTTTCCTAGTGTTCAGTTAATGAATGTCTTCACGATTTGGTTTAATTTTCATTTACAATCTTTATCTGAAATTGGATATAGTTTTTCATCATATTACATGTTAACGTAATTGCATTTTAGAATATTAAATATCTCAGCATAGATGATGCTTCTATTCTGCAATCATTCTCGGTGCTTTATGGTAGACGTATGACAATTTTATGATGATATATTTATTTTTTTCCTGTACATTTGTCCACCCCACTTAGCTAATAACAGTTCTTGTACTATATGCGGTTCTAGAACAAGGATGCTGAGCAGGATATTCTTCTCCAGTCCGTTCGGATAATCAAGAAACATGGTGCTAAACTAGGCTGCACCCAGCAAGATGGAGTCAACCAGTGATACACTTGCGCTTGACATGTAAACTGGGTATGAGGACACAGTCAGATTGCTAAACCTGTTGCATTTTGGCAAACTCTTAAGAAGCTATGCACCTTCGAAACAAACTTCTTTGTTAACAATTTTCTAAGAAACAGCAGGCAGTTTCCTCATCTATGAGTGCAGAATAAGTTTGTACATTGTATCGAGGGTGGCTCATTTCGAGGGAATTTTGGGTCATCCATTGCATTTCTAATGTGACGAAAGATGGGGCTAAAAAGGCTGAGAAGAATTCATAGTCTTGTACTGAAATCTAAGGGATTATGAGTGGTGTGATGCTTCCTCCGTGCAATCTGCTGCCAGAGCAAGGTGTCAAGAAAATCGAGATGTGTGATTTTTCTTAGGATAGTTTGGCGATTGATAATATAGAGTTACAGAGATGTTCTTATAATATGAATTCCTTATTTCACTGTTAAAAGTTTCATGTTTTGTCATGTCCTAAATTTGTGCTACTCTTGAAACGTTCTCTTCAACTGTAAGTTCTGGATTCTTAAATCTATTACCTTGTTTGATAGATGGACTTAAAACAATTATATTTGAGTCAATATTGAAAACAAATGTTCTCTTCAATTCAAAGACCTAAATTTCACGATTAAATAACGAGTGATGATCAAAGTTCTCTTCTTGAAACATGTGACTGAGACAGGGTCCGCGTAAAGCGACTATCGAGACAGCCACATTACGAGTTCCCCGCAATTCGAACACAATTGTTTAACTCTTCCATCAAATAATATGGCTAATACAAAGTTATAGCCTTAGGGAGTAGTGGTCGCATCTTATTTCAGATGGTTTTAGAGTTAGAGATCTCGTGTTCGACTCTCCAGGATTGCACAGGAGGTGACTTATTTCGTAGTGATCCTTCAAAATAAGCCCCTGTTTATCTATCATTATTTCAAAAAATTATTTGCTACATTAAGATTCTTCACCACACATTCACCCAATAAAATATTCTACACACAAACCAATAAAATTACTTTAAATTTCAACCACACATTTTCCAAAATATACTATTCATTACTCTATTTTTCTCTCAATAATGGGACACACCATAAAGGCCCAAACAAATAGTGGTTCAGGTGGTTTTATGAGCCTGACCTTAGATGTTATATAGCTAGATTGTGCCTCTCCTACAATATAGCTGGTTGCTTCTCCATACTTCCATTGGTATCAGAGTCAAGGTTGTGGATAAAATTGAACTACATACAATTTGCGACATGAAAGCAACAGTAGAAATTTGTATAACATTCTGCTTTGAGAATAATAAAGCGAAAGACTCAATTATAGTGTTACAAATAACTGTAAAATGCAAGATCCTTCACTAATGCAATCAAACTATAAGGAAAATAATCAAAAGAGATCTGAAAAACATCGAAAAAATCACGGATATCAGAGACTCTTTAACAAGGAGAAGCCAATTAAGGGCATGTTATTTCAGCTCTTTCGTACAACATGATTCACTACAGATGCAACGTCCGAATAAGATTCTAACAAGAACCTGAGACCATTATTTCTTAAACTCGAATATCTTGTGGTCAACATCATATAATCACGTTCCTCAATGTGTTGGATCGGGGTTAAATTTTACCGATTCCCTCCAGATGAGTTCCTTGATATTCTCTTCAGTGAATGACGGCTGCTCAAAATCAAAAACGAAAGGCCTATGACATACTGGCTCCTCATTAATATCATGAAGTGGCGCCAAGTACGGGTGGCAAAGAGCCTCGTCGACTGCAAATGACCAAGAAAGATTTGTAACATCAATTCAGAAGTAATAAAAAACCCCCAAACACCCACCCAAAAGAAGAAAGGGAAGAAAATCATTGAATTTCTTGTGCTCATCTATCATCTTTTCCTAAAGCTGTTTTTCTATTCTTGGTTGACTTGTTTGCTAGATACCTGCCGATTTTTTCGCCATATTTTGTCATGGTTATCGTATTCGATTTCCAAATTGTATCTTATTGATATTTCCCAGAGTTTTATAGCATTCATAGAGCTAAAATATCAACAGCCTGACTTAGTCCTCAAGTAGTAATTCAACATTGAAGTTAAAAATCAGTAAAAAGTTAACTGTAGTCAAAACATACCTGTAATACGTTTGCTTGGGTCAAAGATGAGCATCTTCTCTAGCAAATCCAGAGCTCCAGCAGAAGTGTTCTGAAATCTCGCAGAAAATTGTTGCCTTGGATACTGAGGAAGTTGCCTAACATATCTTCGAGCATTGTCACTCCTAAGAAATCCGAGACTTGCATCATCTGGTGAGCCTATGAGCTTTTAGAATAAAAATGAAAAGTTGATCATACCCAGAAGGCAGGTACCGTGCATATAGATTAGTTAGAAAAGAAAACAACTATATAAAAAGACTAGCACAGAGTCAATTTAAATCATCCCCGATAATTTTAGGTATATAAAACCCTCACAAATTTCAGCGCAGTGAGAATTGCAGCCACTTCCAAGACAGAAATCTTTGACTCGTCTCAAAAGATAATCTTTCCTATAACTAAAGATGTAGAATTGGATTCATGCAACCAAAGCTTGCTAACAACAAACAGTTCATTAGAGAATAAGAAAATGTCTCAACATGTTCATATACACATAGAAAGTCAAAAGTTTTACCAAGAAACAATGGAATTGATCTGAATCCTCTCCACTGACATTAGAAATTCCAGAGGAATAAGCATCAGAAACTGAAGCAAGGTACTTTGACAAAGATAAATAAAAGAGGAAGACTGAACGAGTTTGTTGTGTATATTGAATTGATTTAAACAAGGTAAATTTTTTGAAGTGGATTGGAAAGTAGCATTAAGAAGACACAGAAGTTAAGGTGCTTTTGATTTGCTGTTTTCAGTTTTACACAACGCCCAAAACTTGTTTGGTATGGTATTTTTGAAAATACATTTTCGGAAACGACTTATAACATAAAACTCAAAACGCATTTTTGACATTTTGAGTGTTTTTAGTGAAAACTCTAAACACACTCGAAACATAAGAAATAAGTGTTAAATTTTTTTATTTAAATAAAATTCTAAAAATAAAAATATCTAGAAAATTAAAAAGTAAAAATTTTGAAAAATAAAATCTAAAATTCTAGAAAATTTTAGAAAAATAGAAATAGTTCAAACTCTTAATGGCTTATTACATAAAAATTCTAGAACAACATATTTAAATGAACACTTCATTCGACACCATTAATTTTTATTTTTTATTTCCCATGTTTTGCCATTGTTTTTATTTTATTTTTGTAGCAAGAAAACATATTGTAAGATTCACCAACTTGAAAATATATATATTACTTGATAATATATTAACATAAAATTGTTCGAATAATCAAATTTCATGAAATAAAATGTCTTACAGCAATTTCTCTAAACTCCAAATCAAATATGTTTTCTAGTTTTTTTACTTTGAGAAATAGATTTCAAAATGGCAATCCAAATGTGGTTTAACAATCTTAAAACAACCCTCAAAATAGAAAACTAAAAATGGACTCAAAATTCAATACTGAAACACAAACCAAATAGGCTCTAAGCTTCTATTCATTATTCGACTAATTCCAAAGCTGAATACCAGAGGTCTCCAAGTTCTATTATTTCACCCAATATGCGTTCACTAATGCTGCAAACACGTACCTCTGTGATAAGTCTCAACTGATGTACATAATCTTTTCCAGGAAATAGAGGTTGTCTTGTCATGATTTCACCGAGTATGCAACCTACTGACCAGATATCGATCGCGGCAGTATATTCTGAACAATTTAGGAGCAGTTCGGGCGCCCTATACCAGCGAGGAACAACGTACTCAGTCATGAAATCGGTCTCGGATGTAGTCCTTGCAAGTCCAAAATCTCCAATTTTTAAATCACAATTCGCATTGAGGAGCAAATTACTCGGTTTTAGATCACGATGCAAGACATTTGCAGAATGCACATACTTAAGTCCTCGTAAAATTTGGTGTAGGAAGTACTGCAAAATTAGAAAGAAAATTAAATAAGCTGTCCTGGTACGACAATTTAGCAAAAAGCATAACAGAAAACTTGTCTATATATACTCATACTGCTGTATATACTGATAATGTATTACTAACAAAACTTAAATTTTGAATAGACAAACAGGTACCTATTAAGAAATAAAGCATAATTAATACAAGTGCTCAAATCCATGAAATAATTCATCCAAACTTAAATCTTAACAATAGAAGAATAACTGATCAAAATGATTTCTCAAAGTAAATGCAAGGTGTTGTGCAAGCAAGCTTTCTCGTGTTTAATTAGCTTCAGAAGTTTCAAACCCTCTTTTATTTCTCTAGTTTCCTATTTATTTTAGCCATTGCAAAGCGGGAGAAAGGATAATAAAAAAGATGCATGATATGTGCACGTATGAAGTTTGCCGATATGATAAAGTAATTTGGAGGCACCTCTAGCCACATTTAAAAATGAGTTCTATTAAACCCATTAAAATAATACAAAATAAACAAAGCAAGAACTTGTGGCATACCCGACAATGATCATCTGCCAATGGCTGGTTGGATCGGATGATATTATGAAGATCGGTGTCCATTAATTCATAAACAATGTAGACATCATTGAAGTTCTCCTTTAGTGGAGGCCTTATGATGTCTTTAATTGCAACTACCTGAAGAAGTATAAAAACTGAGTAGTAAGACAAAGATTCGACCTACAAATTCTTTAGCAAACACTTGAAGCTCCACCAGAAACGAATTTTTAGAACTAAGGTTTCAAGCAAATGAACAATTTAAGACAGCAATAGATATAGCTTAGTCAAGATTCAGTAACAAGAATGGATAGGTCACAACAACACTTGCATTATCATGATTCATATGACGAAGAAGTTTAATTTCCCGTAGCGTCCTCTTGGCATCTATTTTGTTGTCAAAAGCATTGCCAATCTTCTTAATGGCAACTTCCTCGAGTGTCTCTGAATTCATGGCGGCGCTGAAACAAATGATAAAAAAATAAAATAAAATAAATCACTCGTTTTCCTTCACAATGAAAATATATCCAAAAAATCAAATACAGTTGAACAGAATAATTGAAACCTACTAGGACAATTTGCTTATGCGAAGCACCATCACTCCAAAGTTCTAAATACACATTTGAAGACCTTCCCCAAAGTTACAAGGTGGTTTAAAATTTACGAGGACAAGAACTACTAAGACAAAATTGTACAGATGATACAAGAGAAAATAATATATTGCGTCATTTTAGGCTTTTAAAATAGAAAGCCTCTTTTAGAAAAATATTTTATGTTTACAATTTACTTTCTCGAAACTAATAACCTTCCAAATATTAGTACTTTTTATGCCATATATCATGTTATCTAGTAGTCATAGCACAAAATAAGAGTTTTTTTTAGGGGATCAAGGGATTTCACCCCTTTGAACCCAATTCCATTGGCATGTTAAGGCTTCGCTCTTACCACTTGAGCTAGTTCTAGACCTTGAGAGGAATGAGAGTAATAGAGGTAGAATTGATAAATTGAAAAGGGAAAATAACCCCAAAAATGAAAAGAACGCGTGTAGAAAAAATATTGGGAAACGGTCAAACAATGTCAAGAATTGGTCCCAAAGTACTTCAACCAATTGGCAAAAGGGAAACATCGGACCTGTCAATCAAGGGCAAGATTTTTTTATAGTACACGAACCAGCAGTCCGAACTGGTGCAGTTTCGGACAAGATGTAGGAGGAATTGGAGTTGCTTTTCAATGATGTATTGCATATCCAAGGCAACTACTTTACTAAAACACTAAGCCCTCAACCCATCAAGTCTTTGATGAAGCAGCATCCATATCTGCCGCAACATAATTCCTCACCAAATTCCTGTACAGAAACATAGTCTTTGCATAATGCACCATGCCAAGTGCCAACTAGTAAAGCAGGGATCCCAGCCCTGCCTCCCAAGCCCATTTACATTTGTGTGGAATTTTTTTTCTATGTATCAGCCAAATAGAATTTTTTTTGTCCCTCCTGGCTCTGCCCTTGTAGCGAAGAGAAGTTGCCCAATTTTTTTTTCTCTTTCTTTTCATTTTATTTTTTTTGTGACTTAGATGTCCAAACTTCGTCCAACTAATCCCGAGGAATTGCGTCCTTCTTCTCACCCCCCAGTTCGCCACCCGAGTAAACCCAGATGCGATTATAGCTTATACACACTTCGGCCGAACGTTCGGGATGCTCCATTAACCAAAATTTGGTCTGATGAGTGTCCCAAGGCCACCCATCCAAGCACAAAAGCAATGATGATTTCAACTCAAAGTCGAACCAAACTCATTTTGACACAATGTTAAACTATAAACTACAGATGAAGGCAGAAACATTTGTTACATTTTTTTAATCTAAAAACTACAAAGAGAATGTCTTAGGGTAAGGACATCTATTAATACGAATAATCTATAGTTATTACATAATCATACAATTATAGCAGTAATCATAGAAAATTGCAGAATTATGACATCCAATTCCAAAACGTTTTGACTAAAATATTAGCAGTCTAATTAACTCATTAACAAACCATCCAAAAAACTTGAAGATTTCCCAATAAATCCAAGATTGAACTGAAGGAATCATAAAACAATTTTCTTAATTTTTACCAGACGATGCCACAAGCCCCACGGCCCACAGGCCTGCTGGGAACATACTTTCTTGAAACTTCAAAGAGGTTCCCATACACATTGTACTGCATATATTTTCCACCATGAGTTGGAACTCCTTTAATAATATGTCCACCACGATCACCTGAACCAGAGCTTGATTCCACAGACATACCAAAAAAATAAAGAACGTCTAAATCAATAATCCCAAAAAAAAAAGCGATTTTTTTTCAAGAACCCAGTTCAAAGATTCAGTTTTTCAGAGAGTTTTTGTGTGGGTGTCGGTGTATGTGAAAGAAAAAGTAGAGCTTTTCAACATTTCTCATTTCTTCTGTTTTTTTTTCTTTTTAATTCGGGGTGAAATGACCTTCTTTCCTGTTCTTTTCTTTTTTTCCTTTGGTGACCTTTATCTAAGCTTGTAGAATGTGATTAAGAAAAGTTATTTGCTGGATCTTCTGAAGATAGAAAGCTGAGCGAGTGTGTGAGCTTTTGAGCTGGTAACTTGAGATTACCCGTGAAGGAAAATGATTTTTCCAAAGCATGGCCGCGTGACCCAACCACATTGTGGTGAAAATTAACTACACATCAAAAATATACTCTGATAAATTCATAAAGATCCAATTTGTCATAAAAATTCAATCAAAATAACGTTTTATATTTTCAACTTGATTTTCAATTGCTAATGACTGATTGAATTCTTCAAGGCAGATTGCCCATTTCTTGTTTGATTTTTTCCGATGATTTTGTTGTCAATATTTTCCTTCTCTAGATACATAACTTGACCACTAATTATTCCAATAAATCAGTCAAAGTTGCCTGCCTTCAATTCCACCTCATTTTCCAGTCAACTATTTAATATTGAATGCCTGTTAGGTACGAATTTTCTAAACTCACTGAAATCACGTGTCAAACAAGCTTTAAAAATCACAAGAATCTATATCATACAAATGGCGACATGGATCATTACGTGCTTACAGCGGTTGCCAAGTTGAAGCAATATGCTATCAAGTATTTTTTAGTCAATTTTCCAAAGGAAAAGTGCACGGGGTCGCAGACCCGGAGAAGCAGGTTCAAAACAACCTGAATCCCCGAAGCAAATCGTGAGCCGGGCGAAACATGGACGGCGGCAAATGTAAATCTCGATACTTGAACACTATTGTTGCAGACAATACAAACTTATATCATTAACATTGCACAAGAGTTCAAACATATATTACAACCTGGTAACAAGCACTCACAAACCACAAATACACATATAACTAAACTAACAACATAAGGCCTAATAGCTAATAAACCCATATGTATACAGGAAAGACTTCACTTACAGTTTACCTCACAGCCTGACCTCCTACGCTGTCATTACGTTGCACCGAGTTGGTGACATTACCGCCAACTCTAAGGTTACAAAGCAACGCATCACGACCAGTCAGAACAATTTGGAAAAAACTATCCACTTCCTTTGCTAGCAGATCTAATCCTTGTGAAAATCTCTCCGTTCCTAATCTTAAATCAGAAGTTGAGTTTTGCAACACTTCAGTTTCGATGGGGCCATCTTGTACAATCGGGTACAACTTCTTGACGTTAGCATCAACAGCTTCAAGCTCTTTCAACACTGTGACCCTTCCGCTGGAAAATATGTTCCTTATCTCATTATTTACGGAAGCCCGTAGATCAGTAAAAGCATCTGCCCATGAGAAAGTCTCTGGAACATGCAGGTCAATCAATTTCTTCATAGAACCTGAGAATGTAGCAGCAAATATGCTGCATATAAAAAGAGTTACCACTTTAACACCGTACATAGCTCGCATCAATACCTTTCCCTTTGGCGAGTTCTTAATTTTAGGTAGGTCTATAGTTTCAGCAAGACTATCCATGATGGCAAAACAGTTATCGAGTCTTGGGTTCTTTGAAATAATATGCTGCCTCCATCCATCAAGTGACGAGCGTGCTTGAGTAAACTGTTTTGAGGCACCATCCAAGTTATGCAAGACACATTGAAGAAAAAGGTGGCTTTGGTTAAGCCGAGAGATCTCCGAGCTGAAAGCAATGCAGATATCCAGCAGCTTCACACTATTGTCCAAGTACACATCAATCCATTTATCGTCCCAATCACAGACGGGGAGTTCAAGTGCAGTTATAAGAGTTTTTATGTCGGTATGAATTGCACAAAGTGATTCCATTGCAGATGTCATCCATGATAAGTGGAGGAAATCTTCGCTGTCTGCTGGCTTAAGCTTTTTAAGCCTCTCGGCAAGTGTCACCTCAAAAGTGTTCAGCAGATCAAGAAGCTTTGGGGACATGTTTGAGCCCTTAGGTAAAATTCTTCGGAAGGGATTTCCAAATGGGAACAAAGGTCTCTGGGGATCCTGTGGACGGCTCATTTAACTATACAAACTGCAGCAATAACAGCGATAGGAAATACGTAAGATAAAAATTCCCTTGTTGAATGGATGTATATAGCAGTCCATTTAAAGGATAATTGGCGGTAAAGGGTCATGACATACCACTCAAAGAAAATATTTCAACTTCAAGTACTAGAATCAATAACTAATGCAAACATAAATTCCTTAATCCTTATTGCAATAATGTTATGTAAGCTTACATATGAAGTAGTTTTCAGGCAACATGGGCCCAGTCATGTCTTGCAAATGGCATAGTGTGCATAAAATGTGAAAAATTACACCTTTGATGAGGTAGAAGCTCTCATGAAAAGAAACGTTGTCTTCCAATCGCCCAGTGAATCCAGGAGGAAAGGGGAATCCAACATGAACTTCATTCATGCATTTTGAGTCAGGTCAGTACCATCCTCTCTTGGATTTCCTGGGGATGGGTGTAAGGAAGAAATGGGGCTACTCATTCTCAAGGTTTGCTTACCGAGAGAACTCCTCTTTGGGAATATGTCCTCGGGGAAGCCTGCACCCTACATCGGCACAACGGAATGTGTAGCCCACATAATGAAGTATTTCAGAACATCCAAAAACCCATGTCCAAAATTTTGTGGCTGGGAAGCCTGCAGCAGTAACTTGAGTACCACAAAATAATATGGGCACAATTTTCAAGGAGACGATGGGTACTCTCACCAAATCTAATATAAAAATAATAATTAGACCTTTTAAATTCTATTCGTATTGTAGGTCAGAGTAGTAGGTTACAAAGAATTATACAAGCATAATACTACAATACCAAGATTCAGCAAACACCGAATATCAAGAGAGAAAGTTGTTAAATTTTTATATAGGTTTTCCATTATATATTGCTTTATTTCCGAAGCGTTAAGAAGAACATTGAATTTAAAACTTTCACTGTAGAGAGAGTAATCGCTTGGGAATTGTTTTCCTTCTCATCCTCTTTGTTTTATTTTATAAACTTGAGAAATAAACACAAAAATACACCCCTCATCACAGATCAATTACCTAACTCTACACACTTCGATCAAATCCAATTTTAATAATTCTCAGCTAAAAATAATAAAAAATTGTCAGTACCTTATTACACGTCTAAAACAAAATTAAAAAAAAAAATAAAAATTCCAACAGTTCTCATTCAAATAATTTTTGGCAAAAAATATAAAAATAATTTATACCTTAATTAGACAACTGGAAAAGAAAATAAATCCATTAATTCTCATTCAAGTTTACAGCTTTCTAAATATAAATTATTTTCCCTAAATTAACAAAATTAAGCAAATATTAACAAACTAAAAATCAGAAAATTAGTTCAATCTGAAAACTAAACAAAATCAAACAATAATTCACCTAAAATACTCGCCGAAATGGTCAGATCTCCACCGATTCAAACAGTCAACGCCCAAAATTTCCCCAAGTTCCACAGTTGAACTCTAAGATGAATAAGTATACCCCTCCGATTCCTAATCCTAATTATAACAGTTCAATCCGAAAATTAAACCAAGAGCCATCTAAAATACTGACGGTAATGGTCAGATCGTCGCCGATTCAAACAGTCAACGCCCAAAAATTTCCAAAAATGTCACAACTGAACTAATTATAAAAAGTAAATCATATATCTAATTCGTAATCCTAATTATAATTGAACAAAAAATCGAACAGACAGATATACACGTGTATGTGTCGATGCGTATAGCGCGCGCGCGCGCGAGAGAGAGAGAGAGAGAGAGAGAGAGATGCTGTTCGTACCTGGTAGAACAAGAAAAGTCGTAAAAGATTATGAGAAGTTTCGTGAATTTCGTGGAAAATGTATGCAGGGCTGGTTGAAGAAGACGAGAAGGGTAGAAGTAGAAAATTCGCCGCTGAATATGGGTACGTGTTCGAATATGATTGGGGATTGGAATTGTGGGTAGGATTTTTTCAATCTACCAATAGTCGGCAGAATTGGACCGTTTCAAGATGCCGATCTATAGAGGCTTGTTTGGTTGGGGGAAAAATTGGAACCAAACAAAGTCCTACTTAGCATTTGTTCAAGATAATAATGATTATTTAAAGTTAAAAATCTTTTTTTTTTTTTTGGAAGAATGTATAGTTATAATTTATTAACAATATCTCTAATCTTTATTTATTGTCATAGTTATATAGATTATTTTTCTACTAATTTCTTATTTTAAACATTTCAATAATTAGAACATCTTATCCATGATGACGAACTTCAGTCAACAAAATTATTAAAAAACACTTATTTATTTATCGTATTTTTATATAAGCAAAAAATAGTAAAACAAAAAGTGTAATTAAGGTGGTGTAAAAGGGGGTTCTTACGAAAAAATACACTACCTTTTATACATCAATTTTTTCTTCCTTAAATTATTGATGTGATGAAAAATATTATTTTATTGAAAAATATGTTGTTGAAAATGAGTAAAAAAATGAAAATGAAAAAATAATGTATCTCAAACAGGGGCTAAATATTTTGAAAAAGACTTGCTTTATAGCACCACTCACATAATCTTTTACAGATAGATAAAATGTCAAATAAAGTAAGGGAAATTTTTTTTTTCCTATGTGGTTAACGAGTTTTCGACCAAATCAAATCTAGCATCATCATCTGTTGATAAATAAATCTGTAACAACTGAAATATTTTTCCCTTGTAACAACTGAAATTATATTGTGAACATAGAGTTTTAGTATTTTGAAAAGATTTTCCTGTACATAGTTTACCAAACCCTTTCTTTGCCGAGTAATGTTATTCATCCCCAGTGGGGATGAAAACACAATCTAGGTGGCTGTAAATGATAGGTGAAATTAAATGACTTATTTAATTTCACCTATTATTTAATGCCACATTAGCTCCACCTAGACTGTGTTTTTATCTCCATTGGGGATGAATAGCATTACTCTTCTTTGCCTTATCACCTGTTAACCGTTAGAATCGCACAATCGTCTCCCAATAGAATTGTCCTCTAAATTAAGAAATATAATGGACTTTGAAGTATTTTTCTAATTGTTCCAAGAAAAGAAGAATTTTTCTCATAGCCACTTCTTTTTCCTGAAAAACACAACTCTCGTTCAAGAATTAACTAATGAAGTTAGTCTAGTTTCTGTGTGCTATTTTCTTTACCCTTTAATCTAGGATTTTTTTTTTTTATACAGCTAAACAGAAAATTGTTAGCAGATCATGGCATAAAAAAGAGAGAGCTACACGTAATATCGATTCTGGTGATTACAGTGGGTCCAGTTTGAAGTGTAAAATGAGTAGATCATACTCAGTTTCAGCATGCCCATAGTTCCCGATCAATCCGCTTTTTTATCGGGTTCATCAATTGCAGCTAATCTTTCGACCAGAGGAGGATGAGAATAGTGATATGCAGAATACCAGGGGTCCGTGTTCATGGTTGAAAGATTCTCCTCCTGCCAAACAACCAAAAGGGTTAGTAACCGTAGCAATTCGTATGTGACGACCATGTTTCGCTAAGCTTAGAAAAGTAAAAGTTCAACTTTTTATATCCTGTGTTTGGGTGATTTACTTTTTTTCTTCTCATTTTTAAGTAAAAAAAAAAAAGTTACTTTAAAGTATCATTCATCTTAACGCCAACATAAGTAATTTATTTCTAAACCTATCAAAAATGAGATAAGTTGGATTGGACAATATTCAGTCTTAAGAAAGAAAAGTAAATGTTAAACATCTTGCCATTTTATTGTCTGCTACTGTCCTAAACCAAACATGCTGTGTGTGTCCATCACGAGCTTTTACGTTTTCATTCTAAGAAGTGAACTTAAACAATTATAATTGAATTTAGATGACGAGATGTATGGAGATTCCATTACCATTTTTTATAGCAAAAAATACTAAACAAGCAGAAAATCCAATATTTCTGAACCCGTGGTGGGAAGCAAAAGACAAATCACCTGCAATTTCACAAGACCAGCGCGAAGTGCTGACCCATATCCAAGCTTCTTGGCAAAAGCATCAGCCTTCGAGAGACAAAAAAGAAGCCGAAATTTATTGGCGAGAGTTCGAAAATGGTCTGGTGCAAGAAAATAAAAATAAACTACTACGGTATTCATCAGAAGGTTACCTGGAACTCAAATGCTCGGCTTACAAGATTAAGAACAAAGTTCACGAGATGTTGGAGAGGGATCACAGTGTGCTGCAACGACATCAAACAGGATTAACATATACAGTCATGAAAACCATTGCTTTCCTCGCTCCATAAGAACATGAAGGTTCTAAAACAGCTATTACTACCAATACTAATGATAATTAAAACTAGCTATAAAACAGTAATAATTCCACAATAAAGCATCATGTGAAAGGATCAACTAATGCTAGCGGCTTTCTCCAGAAACCCCAGTCATGAAGACGAGTTTATAGTCATAACACCAGCAGTGAAGATACATTCAAATGTACACATACACATATGCCACAGGTTTTTCACTGGACTTGCCAATTCTTGCTTATTAGAAAATGACGAGCTGCCTAAAACTGTGCTTGTTTGGATAAAGCCTATGCCTTTGTTTGGTTCGTTTTTAGTGGCTAAAATTAGAAGTTGGTAGAAATAAGTGATCGATAAGTGGGTAGTAATCGTGAGTCCTATGAAATGTGTTGTTAAAGTTAATGTTTGACTTTGAAAAGCAACTTCTTAGCAACTAAAATGAAAATCCAAACAGATACTGTGTTTGAGTAAACTTTGTTTGATTCCCACTAATTTATTTTATGGTTTGCTACATGATCAATTTCAACCACACATTCACACAATAAAATATTCCACACATTCTCCTAAAAATACTATTCAAAACTCATTTTTATTTATTTTTAATTAATGGGAATCAAATGGGCACTTATTAGTAACTTATAATTTCCAATGAAACATTAATTTTAACCACACAT